ACTGGGGCAAGCTCTGCCTCCGGTGCCCCCACGCACATTTGGAGGTGCCCTGGCCACTGTGCTACATGGCAGAGGCACCCATTTCCCTGGCTGCAGCAGCACCTCGGCCTCTCCCCGCCATGCTCAAAGTGTCCTTCTGGTTTTGTTTTCTTTACTTATTTTCAGCCCTGAGGTTTCCTTCCAGAATAGCTTCAGGGCGTGGAAATAGGATGGTGCAACCCCGACCGCAACCTCGGCCCTGCAGTGGACCTGGGCAGGACAGGAGTACACTGCTCTGCTCGTTTACCGCCCTGCAAAAATAATAATTAAATTTGGACATAGGAGTCATGTCAGCCTGTGCCAGACAGGGACGCTCTGACCATGAGGTCTCCACGGGCTCAGGCAATTATATCAAAACCGTATGTAGTGCTCTTGCTGAGTGTCATGGTTTAACCCCGGCTGGCAGCTGAGCACCACGCAGCTGCTCGCTCATTCCCCCCTGGTTGGATGGGAGAGAGAATCAGAAGAGAAAAAGTGAGAAAACTCGTGGGTTGAGATAAAGGCAGTTTAATAGGTAAAGGAAAAGCCGCGCGCGCAAGCAAAGCAAGACAAGGAATTCATTCACCGCTTCCCATGGGCAGGCAGGTGTTCAGCCATCTCCAGGAAAGCAGGGCTCCGCCCCGTGTAACGGTTACTCATCACTCTGAATGCCACCACCCCACCCCCTTCCTCTTCCCCCAACCTCCTTATATGCTGAGCATGACATCATATGGTATGGAATATCCCTTTGGTCAGTTTGGGTCACCTGTCCTGTGTCCCCTCCCACCTCCTTGTGCACCCCCAGCCATCCCACTGGTAGGGTGAAGCCTCGACTCTGTGTAAGCACTGCTCAGCAATAATGAAAACATCTCTTATATTATAAACAGCATTTTCAGCACAAATCCAAAACACAGCCCCATACTAGCTACTGTGAAGAAAAATAACTCTATTGCAGCCAAAACCAGCATACCAGGCCATGCTGGGTGAAAGCCACCCGGCTGCAGCACAAAGCAGGTGCCAGCGGCTGGTGCAAACCCCACCAGCAGTGGGTCGCAGGACCGACGGCACGGTTTGGGCGCAGCAGCAGAGGTGTGTCAGAGGTGTGATGCTGCCTGTGCAGGGCTTGGGGAGTGGGCTGCCAGTCTAATGCCCAGCTCGCTCACCAAAGCACGTAAGGAGCAGCATGGCAGCATACGTGTACACGTTAAAAAAATGATGGGAGTGCAGAAGGGAAACCATTGCATTTGCACGCGTGGGCTGCGTGCTGCACGCCTGCCTTCTTGTCTCAACGTGCTCCTGAAAAATGGGTTTTTGCTGCTGTCACCTGTTCCATGTTTTGTTTCCAGCTGTTTGTCTACAAGGGTGAGACTATTTTCATGAAGCTGTCAGATGCTGCGGTCACTTTTAATTAACAGATACCAAACACTGCTTTTGGGCAAACAGGTGACCCTCTCTAAGCCCTGCTGCCTTGGAGAGCTGGAGTTCTTGCAAAAGCATTGAGACCAATGCTCCAACCCTGAGATGTGATGCTTTTTGAAATTTATTTATTATTATTATTTTAAGTGGAAATGTTTTGGATGCATTTGGCCGAATTCCCTACTGATCTCCCTGCATGGTGCTGTGAGGTGGCTGCTGCCAGTGGCCTGCCCAGGCAGCACCCACTCCCTGGCACAGGAGCTAAACATAGGTGCTGGCTGCGCGAGGCGCTTCGGCACACGTTAATTATCCTGGTGCTTTTTAAGGATCTTGGGTGAAATATGCATTTTTATAGTCAGTTTTCTTTTTTTAAGCAGCCTGGAGCAGCTGCCCTTTAATTACATTAAAAATTGCCTCCCACCAGCACTCTCTGTTCCCCAGGTCTGATGAAATTTAAGCTCAAAGCTGGGCACGTGCTTGCTGCTTTCCTGTGCAGGGCAGCCCATGACTGCGTGGGGCAGGGGGAAGCAGGGCTGTCTCTGTCCTGTGCCCCCACATCACCCCCAGCAGAGCAGCTCCCCCAGCCCCAAAGTCCTGGGGAGCACCAGGTCCCTCAGGATGCTGGTGTCTCTTTACCAGAGGCTGCTGCGTTGGCATTAGAAAAACTGCATGGCTGCTTTTGGGGGTTTTTTTCTTTTCTTTGTGTGTGCATTTTCCTGGCCCGAGGCGCCAGCTGAAAGCCACAGCCAGCTCTAGGCCTCCCTTGTAATTACGGCTCCTTGCAGTGACACAACGGGCTTTGAAGCCCACAGGGCAGCACAGCTGTGCCCTGCAGCCCCCAGGTTTGCACAGCGGGCATGTGGCCCGACTTCTTGCCAAAGCTGCCGGACCCCCGGGGGGCTGCAAGGGACCTCTCCCTCCTCAAAAACATGTGATGTGCACGGCATTTCATCAGCAGTTGGCGACTCCCCATGATGTACCTGTTGATATGGTGATGACAAAATAATAACAACAAAAGCTTTGTCTTTCTGGTTCTAACCTGGGAATTTGGTTAACTGGAAATCTTTTGCGTCCTGATCAAATTCAGACTCAAACTGGGCTCCCATGGATGTGTGTGAGGCTTTTGGCAAGTGCAGCCCCTGGTTTGGAGGAGAAACATGAGCGTTCAGTTCAAGTGGATTTTTCTGCCCTAAATAACTATAGTTTTCTCACTGGCAAACCTGTGCATCATAAACCTGCTTGAAGGCATGCATTTTCCAGCCCGGCTGTTCCCTCTCTGAGGGTCATAGGGCAGATGGCATTGGGCAGCAGGTGCAATTCTCCTTGCTACCATGGAAAGCAAAGTTGCATTCGGCGAGGAGTTGTTCCCCTGAGCTGCTGCAGCCCAGGCGCGTGCAGGAACGGCAAGGGGCCTTTGCTGCTGAGTGCAAGAAAAATCTGAGGAAAAGAGGGAACAGAGGTGCACTGGAGAGCTGGGCGGCTGAAATCCCAGCAGGAAATGATAAATATAGGGAAAGGAGAAAGGATGTCCTTGCAGAGGTGGGTGCAGGGGGGCAGCTGCAGCACCCACATGCCCCCATCCCCTGCCATCAGGCGCAGGGCAGGAGGGGTGGGCTCTGATCACTGGCCGTATCCTGCCACTGAGGTCCCCACTGGGCTTTGGGTGGCCATGAGGGTGGGTTTCCCCCCCCCCCCAGCAGTTATTCTGCTTTGCTGGGGATGTGTTCAGAGCTGCCAGATTTCAGCTGGAGAATACTTGATTTTGGAGAGCAGGGGGCCAGGCTGGCCCCTGTGTGGGTCTGTGTGGTTCGGGGGGCACAAGGACCAAAGCAGACATGCATTTTGTAGCATCACTGTGGCAGAAGTGGCTCCTAAAGGGGGACTGGGGACACCTGTATCGGAGTCCCCTTTTCTTTCCCTGCCCTTCCCAAGGCCCGTTTCACCTCTGCAGGCAGCCTGGAGAGGCACTTGTTTGGATTTAGCCTTTTTTTGTCTAACGGCTATGCAGAGCTGGGCCTTTGAGGTTGGTCTTTTTTGTCTTCTTGAAAAAACAATGACAGAATTTCCCAAAAAGGGAGGTAGGCACCCCCTGAGAACAGATTTCCCAATATTTATTTTAATTTAAACCCAGAGTGTTATTATACCCTCTGGCCTCCCAGCTGTTCCTCTGAGACCAGACCCTCAATTAAGCGGCACAGTGCAAACCTCCCCGGGTTTGGCAGCGGCGTGGGGCGCTATGTTTGTGCACCAAATCTGCCGGCGCTGAAGTTTGGGGGTTTTCTGGCGCACGCCGGTGGGCTGGCGTCACTCCGGGCAGGGCGGCGACTGGCTGGAGGGGGGGGCAAAAATAGACCTTATATCCTGGCGGGGCAGCAGCCGGAGGGAATCTGTGCCGGCTGACTCTGTGGATAGCCCTCAGTGCTGTGGAGGGGTAAGCTTGCTGCTGCTTTTCTCAGCTGGGTTGTGCATTGCCGTCTGCTTTTCCAGGGGAATGGGGGTGGGGGGGATCAGCTTGCTGGCAGGGCTTGGTGCTGCTTTTAGCCTTTTCTTGGGTCTGTGGCTTCATGAAGCACTCGGGTGGAGGGAATGAGCATCCAGAGCCTCGCTGCATGGCCAGTAGCTTGTGGCCAGTTGTTTTCTAGCCTGAGTTAGATGAAGATGGGGAAACTTCAAGTGCGGGTAAATATGATAACTCCCCCCCCAAACCTCAGCACAGCTGAGGTTTGGGTTTAGCCAGAGGAAGGGTAGGTAAAAGGAAGGTTAGTGGGCCTGACTGAACCAGGGGGAATGCAGGGAGCATCCCTCCCTGGGGGAGGCTGGGGTCCTACCAGGAAAGGGGATGCTCCTTGCTGAGGCCTGGATGGAGGAGGGCAGGCTGGGTTTTGGTGCTTAGGGGGTGGCAGCTCGGACCTGCCCAGAGCCAAGCCTCCCCCCCGGGCATGCCTACGGGGAGCTCCTTGCATTGGTGCCTTACCTCTGCTATTTTTGTCAATGATAGACTGTAGAAGCCAATTATATTCATTTATTTGTTTGCTTATTTATTTTTCCTCAATGAGGTTAAACTCTCTGCGGTGTAATTCCCCAGGGGCATTGCTCCTTGGGCAGAGCCCGAGCAGCTTGCAGGGCTGTGGGAGGGCGGCCGCAGTGGACAGCCCTCCTGTCAGCCACTCCTGTTGCATCTCTGGTGGGGGCTGCTATTCCCCACTCGCTCCCAAGCGACTGGGAAGCGGGAACGAGTAGTCCTGCTCAGGGAAAGCAGTATGTCCACTACCAGGTGAAACTCACTCTTCTGGTATTTTGTGGCTTCTTGCAAAAATAAAATGTATTTATGGAAATTGAAGCAGATCTGTCAAATAACAACAACAACAACAAAATTTAAAAAATAAAAGGGACTTGGGTCTCTGGGGGGGTTGGATGACCCCATCAAGAGGTGGCTGGAGGTGAGCCTTTCTTCTCCCAGCTCACCCATTTGGGCACAAACACCTGTATGGTTTGGGGTAGTGATGGTGCTTTCTAGCTGAAAAGCAAGCCCTTGCCATGTTTTGCTGTTCCTAGAGAAAGCAGCCATGAGGACTGCCCTGGTTTTTGCCTGCCTGGTGGGGATGGCGTGCACCTTCTCGGTGAGTGCCGGGCAGTGGGGGGACCCCCGGCGTCGCTGGGGCTGGTGTGGGGTGTGTGCCAACCCAGCCTTTCCCCCAGGTCAAGAGCTGGCTGCGGCAATCCAAGTTGGATGACTCTGAAGAAAATGCGGTAGGATCTCCCCCCGCCCTGCATTCCTAGTCCCACGTGGCACTGGCCTTGAGGACAAGGAGGTTTCAGTCACTCTTGTACCCAAGCCCTGAGACTGATGGGATTTACCCCCTTCTTCTCCCGGTAGGTATTCAAGAACAGGCACCGGTATTACCTGTACAGATATGCTTATGTGCATCCCTTGCAGCGACGGTACCAGGTGGGTGCTTTGGATGGGTTGCTGATGCTTCGCCACCCACCAAATATGGAGATATCGGCCCAAATGAGACAACGGGCACGGTCTGCACCCTGTCTACCACTGGCGTGCAGGGCTGGGCTGAGACCGTCATGCTCGTGACACCAGCAGAAGACCCACCAGCCTGGCTATGGCTTGGTTTTCCCTCTCCTTAGGGCAGTGACTCATCGGAGGAAGAGGGGGATGGCTCGGAGGAGGAGGAAGAGGGGGTGAGTACAGCAAACCAGAAGCCTTCAAAACAAATATGGGAATTTGGGAACTTTCTTTGGTTTTATAGTCTCTGCTAATCAGCATTTGTGGCCGCTGGCCACCCACAGCCTTACACTCTGGATGCGACTGGATTTTCTACTCTGGGCTTTATTTTATTATTTTTTGTATATTTTTTTCCTTTTTCTTCTTTTTTTAAAGAGGATGGGTGGGTGATGCACCAAACAACCCTGAGACAAACTTTCCAGGTTTCCATTTTCAGTGGCTCAGAGAGGAGCAGGACAGGCCAAAGGGCAAAAGCAGGGAGGCTCACCCACAAGGCAAAAGGTGCTGTTAGGGACTCCTCTTACCTTCCCCTACCAGGGTGCATTGCCCCCATAGTGCTGATAAAATTGCTATGGAAAATAGTTATGCTCTGCACGCGTGCATGTGGAGGGACACAAACTGATGCTATATTGGGAAATGCACGTTTGTACCAGCCCAGCCGGTAACACTGCTCCTGCCTGCTGCATCAATATGAGCTTGGGCACCGCTGCATTTGCAAGAGTCACCCGGGTCCAAAATTAAACACTAGGGGTTATGAAGGTGCCCAGAATAATCCAGTGGTCTCGCACACAGGAACTCTGAGACAGGGATCCGGTATGCTTGGAAACCTATGTGTCAGGTCTAATCACATATTTTAATATTTTTTTTTAATTTAATGATTTGAATGCTAATTTAGGGATCTTTTTAATAGGAGTGCAAGCCTGGGCATCTGGTCTTAAACCACTCTTTGGAGGCCTGCCTGGGGCTGGGGTGCAGCATGGGGTGGCCCGTTCCCCAGGTGCCTCTGCCAGCCCCAGCACCCCCCTGCAATTTGCCCCTTTCTGCCTGTTGCTCTCCTCTACCACTGCGATCACTAGGGGTAACTTTGAGTAGTGGGATGAGACAGCCAAAGGGGGAATTTCATTCCCAAGAAATTAAGTGGTATGCAGGAGTGCAGCTGCTGTTTGGGGCTGCCCCTTTCATTTCAAGGGCACCAGAGCAGTGGCCATTCCTGGGCAGGGATACCGTGTACTTTCATTGGCAGAGGATGGTCAGCAAGATAAATTATGACGAAAGGCCCCAAGGTCAGTTATAGGTATGTCAAGAGCACCGTTGTATTGGCTGCTAGATGGGGGACATCACTCACATCTGCACAGCCAGCTGCATCGTGCAATTTGGTGGCTCCTCTGGTGGAGAGGAAAACAGCCTGGGTTTTCTCTGCATGAGATGCCCCCATATTTTAAGTGTCCGAGTTGGACCAAAATGCCAGGGTGAGCGTCCTTGGTCTTGACATGCAAGCAGCAGGGATTGCCCAGGGCAGGGATGGCAGTGACCCTGTGTCTTCCCACCATGGCTGGGTTCATTTGCTGGTGGCAAGGTGCTCCTCCTCCTAGGCTGGGGGCTGGGTGAGCTGTCCCACCCATTCCCAGTGGTTGTTCCAGGCTTTGCTTGCATCTGGGTTATTCATTGCCTTTTTTAGCAATGTGGACTGCGGTGCACCCCATTGAGAGACCCACTCCACTGTGTGGTCTCTGGGGCCAAGCAATTCTGATGGCTTATTGCTAGTGGGGTTCAGGCTCACGCCTGGCTTTGAGCTGTCAACGCTCTCACCAGCTATCTACACCTGGTGTGTAGTGTGCCCGCATGTCGTGCGCCTGTGGCTTGCTTTGTTTATTGGAAACTGGGAGAGGTAACTTCAAAAGCAAACCTTTAGATGCTTTGTAAAGCAAAATGTGTAGCCAGAATGGGAACGCCCTACTCCAGCCACCACCACGTAATTGCATGGCTTGGGCTGTCCTGCTGCAGCTTCTCAATTTCGGCCTGGGGGGAGACCCGTGGGAAAGTAGGAAACTCAGAGCAGTGCCCAAACACACTGCGGGGATGCTGCGTGCTCCCCTCGCTGCTGGGAGGGCTGTGCTCCACTCCCACTGCTGACCACCTGCCCCGTCCTCTCCCTGTCCCTGCAGGAGCGATCCCGTGCTGGCACCGAGGCAGCTGGCCACCCCGCTGGAGCAGCCCCTGGGGACAGCCAGGGTGGGCTGGGAGGAGAAATTGCATCCCCTCAGCAGGTGTGGTTTGGGGGGGCTGGAGGAGACCACCTATGGACCGGGGGTATGTTCACTGCATGCTTGCTTGCACCCATGGGATGTCCTGCACCCCGTTTTTGCTTGGGGGTCTGCTGCGCAAGATGCCTGCAGCTGCGGCAAACTCTGGGCATTAACCCGGCAGGAGGGTTGGAAGGGGCACCCCAAAAAGGCAGCCTTGCCATGCAAGGCCCTGGGAGATGCTCAGCTGTGCCCACGCCTGCCCCATGTCACACAGCACTGAAAAGCTGCAACCTCCTGACCCCCAACTAATGCTGTGTCATTTCCCCCCACCAGGGCAAGGGCTGTCAAGGGGCCCTGAAGGGGGGCAGGAACAGCGCTGCTGGCAAGGGGGGCGACTCTGAAAATGAAGACAGTGATGAGAATGAGGAGGAGGAGGAGGAGGAAGAGGAGGTTTCTGAGAATGAGAATGGCATCAATGGCACAAGCACTAACACCACCAAGGGGGAAGATGGACCTCATGGCAATGGCACTGCGGTGGCTGAGGAGGGCACTGGCATGGCTGGGGAGGAGGAAGAAGAGGAGGAAGAAGAAGAAGAGGAGGAAGAAGAAGAAGAGGAGGAGGAGGAATCTGAAGCCACCACCATTGCCAGCACCACCAGTGAAGAGGGGCTGTCCCAGGCGACCACCACAGGAGATGGGGGACCCACTGACACCACCACAGCCGGGGAGCAGTGGGAGTATGAAGTGACAGCTGGGGGCCGTGGCCGGGGGGATGAGGGCACCACTGACGGCAGCTACGGGGAGCAGGACGAGTACACCCGCGGGGACAGCTACCGGGCCTATGAGGATGAGTACGGCTACTACAAGGGGCATGGCTATGATGTGTATGGCCAGGATTACTACTACAGCCAGTGAGCGGTCGGGGGGGCGGACCTGGTGCTACCCCCTGCCTGCCCCGTCCCACTCAGGAACGTGCTTCTGAAGGCTCACTGCAGCTGCCGTGCTTGGGGTGCACGCTGGCTCTGTCCCAGGCTTTTTTTTGTATCTCGCAAAGCGAAATGAAATAAAGCAACTAAACTGAGCTCGTTGGTGACAAAAGGTTTGCTGCCAAATTTTCTGGGGTCAGCGGAGTGACACAGTGCTTGGTGGGCTGAGGGGCTACAGGTGCTCGTGCTGCTCAGGATTAAATCTCTTCATTCCAGCTCAAATGCACACAAAAGGAGGGAGGAACAGAAAGGCTAACTAGGAAAGCCTCTGTAGACTCCCCTCCAAAAAATGGAAGGGTGTTTTTAGGGTCACTGCTGTGGGATTACTGCTATGTCTTATCTAGAGTTCATGTGAATTTGCAATATGTGGGTGACGATAACTTTACCACGTCTTTGACTCCTTGGTATCATGCCTCCCATGGCCTGACCATGCACCAGGCAATATTAATAAAGGTAAAGACATTAATTTCTCTTTCTGTGCATCACTAGCTGTAGACAAACACCCCTGTAATGAGAACTTTGCTTCTGCATCCCTGTGCCAGGCATCTGGTTCCCACCAAGGCCGGGCACCTCAGACATGTTTTGGACACTGGCGCTGCAGCCCAAAATGGTCCATGTCTCTCCCAGCTACACAGCCTTGTCCCCAGGGCAAGGTAGGGCTGTCACAGTGACAGTAGTGTGTCCACTCGCCCCCTGTGCCAGGGATGGGGATGCCTGGCTTGCAGTCCCCAGGATCCCTGCCCAGAGTCACCTCCCCATGGCCCTGGCCAACTGGGGATCAGCACCAGGGATGGGGAAGGACCAAATCCTGCTGGGTTCCAGGCAGGTGCCCCCGTTTAGGAAAAGCAATGGCCCTCACACATGGGTTGTGGCAGGTACCAGGCTGCCCTCACACTCCTGGAAAGAAAAACCTGTGTTCAGCTGCGGATAGAGGTCCAACTCCAAAGCGAGTTTCTATTCTCACAGCAGTAAGCTGCTGGCCACTATACAAAATTGCTTCTGTGTGCCAGAGCTGGGCTGCAGCTGCCAGGGTAGCAGGAGGTGCTGCCTATAGGGTGGGCACCCCTGGGGCCAAATCCCTACAGTGGCACTGGGGAGCCCCACACACACTTGCAATCAGTGGGGGACACACGAGAGCCACATCCCCAGGGGGTGCCCAAAGACGTCAGGGAACCAGCACAGACAAAGGGCCCTGGCGCTGCCGGGGGCCAGGTCCCACTCCCATGGGGCACCCAGCCCGGCCCCGTGTGCGTCAGCCCCCCTGGGCACCCGGCCAAAGCTCTGCCTCCCTGAGCTGAGGTGCACTGGCTGGCAGCTCTGGTACCTGCAGGGCACGGTCAGACCATGGCTCCCTGGCTGGGGGGAAAGGGCAAGTTTCCTTCTGGTTCCAAGATTTGCTCCTTGGCTGGATGCTGATGGTTTAGGCATTTCTGGCGTTAATGTAAAAAATTCATGCATGCTCCCAGAGTCTGGGTCAGGGCAGGGTGGTGAGTGGGATGGGAGCTGTTGTCACCATCACCACAGTGAGTGGCTGAGCCAGGCTGACAGGGGGAACCCCTCCTTGGCATATGCGTAGGCGACCAGCATACCACCAAAGCTAGAGAGGGGCAGGAGGAGAGTACATAGGTCATACGCATCCTCGTAGCACCTTCCCACAGCAAAGGTAGGCTTGAAGGGACTTGTGCAAGCAGTGCATGAAAAAAAAATCCTTTTTTACTCTTGTATTTTGCACTTGCACCAGGCTTAGCTCAGGGGGGTTGAGGTTGAAACCCAAAAGGCAAGTGTCGGAGGCTACAGTGTGTCAGTGGCTCTCAGCTTGGCCAGCACTGCCCCGTGGTGCTGGTCGTGGCCATGACTGGGCTAGGCTCATTGTATTGCCCTTCCCTTTCTGTAGCCCTGCTGGCTTTCCCATGTCAGTCACGGTGAGCATGCTATGACCCACTGCACCCCCTCTTATCAATAACCTGGCTGGATGTGTGCCACGCTGAGATCTGTGCTAATCATCGAGCAATTTCGCCTTCAGAACAGATATTTATAAACCGTGCTTTCTGTTTATCCAGCCAGGTGGAACATTTGATAGCTGTCTTCCACCACAAACACATTTTTAGCTGGAAATTACTCCCCCTGGTTATCTGCGGGCGCTGCCAGCCCTGACAAATGTCCCTAGGCAGGAGCTGATTGGCTCCACATGCCTGGGGCCAACTTTAAATTTCAGCAAAGTGGGCACGGCATCCACGGTCTGCCACTGGAACCTGCCTCCGACAGTGAAAGGTAATCTTTTTACCTAGATTTTCTGCCTTCTCTCTCCCCAGCCCTTCAGTTCTGTCCTCCCTGATCAGGGCATCTCCTGCTTTCACTCTGGGCAAGCTGCGGTGGGGACGGGGAGACGGCCCGAGCCTCAGCTGTGTGCATCTCTGCGTTGCACTCTCTCGAGCCTATGTTGCTTTGCACTGCTGATCCTTGTGCATGAATTTCCTTCTGATGTTTTCTGTAGCAATGCTTGCATGGTTGAAAATAGTCTCTGGGCTGGACCTGTGAGCCCAAGCCAGGGTGGATGGGTGAGATGAGAACTATTAGCCAACAGAGCTACTGTCTACTGCCACTTATCAGTGCTGTTGAAAACAGCGTGCAAGTTTCTTAATTCAGACTTCTGACTGTATGGCTTAGCCTGCAGCGGTTTTTATTGTCATTTGTCGCAAATATCCACCCAAGCTGCTTTTGACAGAGTGAGTTAAGAAGCTTTAACACCTGGTGTCAGAGCACCCACTCGGCGCTGCTGGCCATGCACGCGTCCTTGCCTTGCATATGGCGAGAGCATTGCCTTTGCTTTGAGGACTGCAGAGAGGCAGAGCGATGCTGAGGGCCACCGCAAAGCCTGGAAAAAGCCGGGGTTGCTGGATAACCTTGCTGCCATGGGGGCTTTGGGACAGCAGGAGGTTTTGGGTTGCTGCTGGCTGGGACTTTTGGGGACCGCAAGTCTTGAGAATTCAAACTCCAGTGATTCTTCACTTTGTGCCCCCAGGCGCTGCCCAAGATGCAAACAGCACTTGTGTGCCTGTGCCTGTGCCTGCTCAGCACGGCTCTCTCAACACCTGTAAGTACAGCTCTCCCCAGTGTGCCACCAAAACCGTGGGGTGTACAACCCAGTGCGTGCCAGCATGCTTTCAGCAGCAGGAAAATACGAGTTATACTTGTACATAGCACGTCTGGGGCTTGAGGGGGTTTTTGAGGTGCTGGCACAGAGGTGAACCCAGCAAGAAAAATCCATATTAGCACTGAGGTGCCTGAGCAAGTCCCTTTAATTTAGCAGTTAGGGCATTGTACAGGGGCCAGTCTGGGTTGCTGTAACTCTTCTTCTTGATTTCTATGGATTTGGGATCTGCCCAGAGCCTGGGAACAGCCTGAGCAGAGCCACAGGAAGGGAGGCACGGGGAGGATGCTCGCCTTACGCGCATGGGTAACAAGTCAGAGCAAAACAAGTCAGGTAACAAGTGCATGCAATTATATTCAGGCTCTCCTAATGTGAAGGTTGGACAGCTATAACTGAAACAAAGGGTAAACTAAAATAAATATAATAGCAGCCATTTTTGTCCTGCATAATGGTTGCCCAACATACTAACACAGCTAGAGTAAAAAGCTGTTCCTAGTGAAGGCTTACTTTTCCAACAGGGTAAGGAGGAGGAAAACCATGTCTTCCCTGAGAGCTGGGCCCCAGCTGCTTGTCCTTTAGCCCCCAGGGCAGGCTTGCACAACCAGGTCTGTTGCAGGGCAGCACCGGGGAAGGCAATAAATCAGCGCAGATTTGCTTTTCATATAGGGGCACAGAAGAGAGTCAGATTATACTCTGCTGCGTAACCAGGGCTCTAATCATAGAATTATAGAATCACAGAATCATAGAATGGTTTGGGTTAGAAGGGACCTCAAAGATCATCTAGTTCCAACCCCCCTGCCATGGGCAGGGACACCCTCCACTAGACCACATTGCCCAAAGCCCCATCCAACCTGGTCTTAAACACTTCCAGGGAGGGGGCAACCACAACCTCTCTGGGCAACCTGTTCCAGTGCCTCACCATTCTAACAGTAAAGAATTTCTTTCTAATATCTAATCTAAATCGACCCTCCTTCAGCTTAAACCCATTACCCCTTGTCCTGTCACTACACTGCCTGATAAACAGTCCCTCACCAGCTTTCCTGTAGGCCCCTTCAGGTACTGGTAAGCTGCAATTAGATCTCCCCAGAGCCTTCGCTTCTCCAGGCTGAACAATCCCAACGCTCTCAGCCTGTCCTCATAGGAGAGGTGCTCCATCCCTCTGATCAGCTTCGTGGCCCTCCTCTGGACTCTCTCCAACAGCTCGATGCCTCGCTTGTACTGGGGCCCCCAGAGCTAGACGCAGTACTCCAGGAGGGGTCTCACAAGAGCAGAGTAGAGGGGCAAATCCAGCCTTTGACATTGTTCACAAACTAACAATGGAATAAACTGGGAATATTTAATACTCTAGGGTGCGTTTCTGCCCCTTCCAGCTGGGTCTGGGGTGCTTCAGTGGCTCATTTTGCTGAGACCAGAGGGGGCTCCTCTCCATGGGGCTGACTCCCCCTCTGGCACATAAGGAATGCCCTGAAATAGCTTGGTGGAGCTCACAGGATGCTCCCACCTCCAGGTCCCCCATCCTTGAGGAATGCACTGGCCAATACATCCCACCAGATGCCAGGATAATCAGGGGAAGCCGGAAGCTTGTAAGCATGTACCTGGCTGTGAGGGCACAGGCATCGCTGCTCAGTTGCCCAGTAAACACTGGGAATCACCTCCAGTTAACCAGCTCCAGGCTCCCATCACAGTCAGATCCCAGCCGTAAGTTGGAGCATTGTGGTGTGAGCAGTGGTGCCAGATATTAAAACTGCTTTGCAATGAAAATACTCTGCAGCAGAATCCAGTAAAAGGGTATTTGCAGACCAACAATGTCCTATTAAAGGTAGCATGCTACGCAAGCATGCTGTAGCAGAATTTGCAATACTTTTCAGATCCTGGAAGTGGGTTTTTGACCTTTCCTATTGCTGGTTTTAAGCTGGCACCCCAGGTAGTGCCTGGGAATTTATTGGCTTATCAACACAATTTTCCCACCCTTCCCTGGGTGCCGTGGTGTGCCCATCACTCTGGGCAGGGCAGGCAGCCAGCAGTGGGCATTGGCAGCCGCCTGGATGCCAGGGCAGCATTTGACGCCTTGGCTCTCGCTTGTGTTTGCTGCCTGCAGGTGCCGCCGCCGCCGCTGCCTGGGAGAGCTGCTGGAAACTGCGTGGGACAGCACCGGGTATGCCCCCCACCCCATCTGGACCCTGTGGGGTGCCCTGCACTGGGGGTGCAGGGAGAAAAAGTTGGTTTTGAAGGGAACCCCAGGGAGCCACAGAAAAAGAGACCAGTGGTCCCCTTGCATCCGAGCATCCCTTATGAAGAGCAGGGGAGGGGAAAGGTGTGATGTACACAGGCAGGGAAGAGCTTCCCCACCCCCCACCCCCCTCTCAGGGCTGGTCCTCTGTCCCTGCCCAGCCCCAGAGCACAAATGCTTGGTGTACCCACAGGCGAGGTTGTAAAAGTCCCAGACCCAGCTGCTATGGGGTTTTTTTCAAGGTGTGTTGGTGTAAAATGCATCAGTAGCAAAATTCAGATGACTAGCGTGGAACAAAATGCCTGGGTTTGCCTATTGGAAGCCAGCTGCTGTCTTTTCAGTGCTTTGGTCACCGTCGGTCCTGTCACTCATGTCTGATGTGACCATCAACCAGGTTGTTTTTTCAAGCCATAAACTACCTTGCAAAAAAAAACCCCACAGCTCCTGAAAGCAAGCAAATCCAGAAAATGAGCCAAAGGGAAAACCAAACCCTGGAGCCCAGGAGACGAACACACATGTCCTTCCCAGGTCCCTGCCCACACTGGCGGCCACGAGGTGGTGGGAGCTACCGCCCTTCCTGGAGCCCCAGCGGGTGCTGGTGGGACCCTACTGCGGTGCCAGGCACAGCAAGGGAAGCTGCTGCCATTGCATTTAATAAGAAAATCATGGGTTTTGGTTATTTTCTTCCCCACCAGATACTGTTCAAAGGCTGCAATGCCAAGCATGGCTTCTATGTTTTCAAATATGTCTACTCATTCTCAACGCGGAGGAACCAGACGCAGATAAAGGTGAGGAAGCAGCCAGGTGGCATGGCAGGACCCCAGCCTGGCTGCAGTGCCCCATGCAGCCAGTGAGTGCTGGGGCTGGCCCTGACCTCTCACTTGTGTATACTGCACAGAAGGAAGAGGCCGACAGCCAGAGCACTGTCCCCAGTCATCGGCTGGGCAAGGACAATGCCAGGTGGGGGCTGACGGAGGACGGGGCAGCCCTGGAGCGAGGTGACAATGGCAGCACCAGTGCAATGGAGAATGGGACTGGCTTCAAGCCCAAAAACCGCAGCGCCCCAGGCATTGGTGGGGATGCTCACAGTCCTCGCCCGGGAACCAGCACACGCGCGCGCAGTGGTGTCGGCATCATGAGTACCCCCCTGGCCAGCTCAGAGGGCAGCGGCGACTTGGATTTGGTGGTTGAAGTCGATGGTGGTGTTTCCATTGTCCCCCAGGGCAGACACCCCAATGAGGCTGTGGCGGGGAACAGGTCCAGTGTCAGGAGTGAGGACAGGGATGACGGTGCCCCCAGGGGTGTTCCAGTGGAGTGGGCCACGACAGCCAGGAGGGAGAGGGCCCCTGCCACCGGAGGGGCCGGGGATGAGGGCAGCGGTGAGGCCACTGTACCTGGCCAAGGGAGCACAGGGACGGGAGGCACCGCTCTTGCCTCTGTCACGGAGAAGATGGAGGACGTCCAAGTTGATGCCGAAGGTGTGGATGAATATACTTACATCCCTGACTCGGGCAGCGTCACCGTCCCCCGTGGGAAGATGGGCAGCACAGCGAAGGCCACCAGCTTCACCCAAATCTCTCCAGACAGGGATGATGAGGTCAATATCTTCATTGGGAGGGCCAACATCCACGTGGGGGAGCAAGAAACCACCCAAGCTGGTGCCATTGTTGGCAGCAAGGATGATGGTATCCCCGCTATGGGAACGAGCAGTCCCCTGCCCAGGCTGGGTGTCGCTGCAGCACACGATGACGACGACATCCCTGCTCGCAGGCAACCTGAAGGACTGGCCACCATGGCCACCCCAAGCCATGGGCACAGCGTCACCACCAGCCCCAGGGTCAGCCGTCCCACAGGAGATGATGAGGATGGTGCCACCACTGTTGGTGATGAAGAAGGACCAGTGGCCCCTGGCCCCTGGAGGGTTGCTGGTGGTGACGTTACCATCCCCGCAGGGGTTGGCATCCATGGGAACAGTGATGATGAGGCGAGAGGTGAGGGGCAGAGGTTCAAGGGGAGGCCAGGCCACCTGGCTGTCACCACCCCCCGCCAGGGAGGTGACAAGGAGGCTGCAGGTGCTGTCCCAGCCGAGGGGGCCAGCATCCGCCTGGGCACTACCACAGCTTCCCCCGGGGTGAGCGAGGGGGACTGTACCACAGCCCTGGGGATGGCCAGTGGCCACAAGGCAAGCAAGAGTCTAGTGGCAGGGAGGGGATGGAGCGGAGAAGTGGGACCAGCCACCCCCAAGCCCCATGGGGATGGACAGCCCAGAGCAGGGGCGAGGGTCCAGCCAGGGGGAGCGGGGCTGGTCAAGCCACCCAGGACAGACAAAGCACTGTCCCCACGTGGGAAAGCCGGCAGCTGGGCATCAAGCAGGGCCCAG